CAGCCTTAGAAATTCTATATAGAACCACAGAGTTGGAATTGACTCATGGAAACAGGTACTATATGTATACATGCCTTTTAACGCTGTGATTACTTGTAATCCATCCAAAATAACCATGAGCTAATGTTAAAAATCAGATAAAGTAGAAATATAATCAGAATGTTTCTTCTTAGGGAGCATATTTATAGAAATGACTTAGATGTAGGAACTGAACCACTGGTCACGAAGGTCAAGTACTATAGCTTCAAGAAACATCTAGGTTAATTGGGAAACACAGGTCATAGAGATAATATTTTATAAAGTAGTATAGTGAGTAGCATCCAAAGGCTTTAATGCTTGCAAGTAGTCATAAAAGACGCAACTGTTTGTCTCTTCCTTCCTGGAGCATAGGATGAATAAAAAACAAAATAAAAATAAAATTAGCCATTAGTCCAAATGACCAATGGCCCTCAAGGATAAATTCGAATGGGAGAACCGAGCAATTAAATGGTACTCTGCAACTTCCTACCAACCACTCTGCCCAAGATCACAAGAGACAGTCCCAGTTAGAGTGGACTTTTAAAAGAGTAAAACAAAAATCCAAGGAGGAAAATTAAACAACTGAAAGAACAGACTTATTTATCCACAATCACTGTTGTTGTTAGGTGCCATCCAGTCAGTTCCAACCCACAGGGACCCTGTGCACAACAGAATGGAGCATTGTCAGGTCCTGGGCCGTCCTCACAAATGCTCCTAAGTTTGAGCCCATGGTTGCAGCCACGGTGTCAATCCATCTCCTTGAAGGGCCTCCTCTTTTCCACTGCTCTTCTACTTTAGCAAGCATGATGTCCTTCTCCAGGGACTGATTTCTCCTTATAATATGTCCAAATTAGATGAGATGAAGTCTTGCCATCCTTGCCTTGAAGGACCACTCTGGCCACACTTCTTCCAAGACAGATGAGCTTGTCATTTTAGCATTCCATGGTGCTTTCGATCTTCTTCTCCAGCACCACAATTCAAACGCATTGATGATTCTTCAGTCTTCCACATTCAATATCTGACTTTCACGTGCATACAAGGTGACTGAAAATACCATGGGTTGGGTCAGGTGCACATTAGTCCTTAAAATTACATCCTTGCTTTTAAACACTCTGAAGCGTTCTGGTGCAGCCCTCGACTAGTGGAAATCTTGAGACTATTACCCGAGGAACATCTTCTCGATTGAAACAATACATTCCTGGAGGCCACTTTCTAGCAAAACGATAAATGGATAGTACAATAAACAACATGGAAAATGTGCTTCTTAGAACAATCAACTATATGAGACCAGCAAGGCAACATTTGCCCAAAACCAAGGATGAGAAGATACAGAGAGATAGGGAAACACAATGAACAGAGACAGGTAACCCAGAGGGACATCTGGAAGATTGCTATCACACTTCACAGACTGCAACCAGCATCACTGTCATGGAACAATGTGTGTATTAACTCTTGATTGGGAAAACTAATTTTATATGTAAACTTTCATCTAAAACACAATAAAATATGTTTTAAAGAAATGTTCCTTAGGTAGGAGGATAGTGAGACCTTTGTTCACATATTTTGAATATTCATCAGGAAAAAGCAATTGCTAGACAGTGTGTCTACTGGAATATGTCAGTGAAACTGAGTGAGATGGATTGATGAAATATCCCCAACAATGAGTTAAACTTATCAACAATCAAGACAGTGATGTACATTTTAGTGTGTTTTATATATGATTCAGAGTCAAACAATGGCAACAACAACCAATATAAAAATAAATATTTCAAGTCACATGTTGACATTTTTAAGTCTGATCATAAAATTTTATAACTAACGTTCCCTAAGTAGAAAAGTTAATTGATGACATTTATATGCAATAAAATAGTATGTCTTCTCCTTCCACTAAACGATGAAGAGCTATATTAGTATAACACTTTCCCAATACTGCAACATTCTACTACCCCAAACAGTGGCTTAAATAGATACGAGATGCATGCACTCGTATAAGAATTTTAACAACATACATTTTACATAAAAATATGTGTAAATTTTTAAAAATGTGAAAAATCTACCAATGATCTGAGAAGAAAATTAGATTAACACATTCAAGACTAGTTTCTTAATGAACTTAAAATGGTTTGGAAACTTCATTTTGCTTGTAATCTTTTTATTAAACAAAATTAACATTTTGACATTAAAATTATCTTTTTTTCCCTTTTAAAACATTTTGTCAGAATCTATGTAATAAATAATTAGATTTTGAAAGATAGTGTCAATTTTTTCAGTATGAAATTAAATATCTCTTAAAAGGAGAACAATTTTCAGAACTCTGCACATTAAAAAAACAAAATTTTACTAAGATGTACAAAAAATACTATAGCACCTATCGACGAGGAAATTCTATTCACTTGTTTTTGTTGAGAATGTACACAGGAAAGCACACAAGTCAGTTGTTTCCACCTGTACTGTTCATGACACTCAATATTTTTAAAATTTTGTAAGCATTCGTACCCTCCTTTTCTTAGTAAATCCTAGTATATTTAACCATTTTAAAAATTTAAGTATTTGCTATGTGGGAATATAAAAGGACCAAAGTGACAGAGTTTGGGAAGAAGGTAGTGTAATAAGAAATATTTAAGAAAATCCAACTGTCTTGCTGAACAAAGAAGATACTCTTTTAAATAAATAGAATACTTTGTTTTAAAGTAAACATTCATTCAAATAAGTAGAATACTAGCGTGTTATCTAGCTATTCAGTGAACTTATAGGATGAACAAATCAGAAGATTCTACAGAAAGGTGAGCATAAATTATTAAATAATGTACACTGATTATAGTGAGCTAACAGAAAAAAACCCTAATAATATTGTTTCATAAGAATGCATGTTAAAAAGTTTACAGATAATTTTCTCATTTAAATTAAGCCACAAAAAACAAATATTAACTGCAAATTATAAATTGTTGCTAAAAATTTCTGCAAAAATATTATGAAGGTTTTGTTAGGAATTACATTGGCTTTATAAATCAGCAGAAGAATAAATATTTGAATATCAAAATTTTAATAAGTGAACCCTTTATTTAGGCCATCTTTGATTTCTCTCAGCAGTGCTTTGTTATTTATATTTTTCAACATTTACACATATTTGGTTAAATTTATACTCAAGTATTTTATTTTTTGTGAAGTTATTATAATTTTGCAGTGATTTATTGCCATTGTATATAAATAAAACACTGGCTGACTGAATTGTGATTATAAAACATATACAGTATACTATCCTATTGAAGGATTTTGTAAACTGACTTAATATTCCTCAGTCTTGAAAACCTGATTAAATACTCTGGAAATAGTTTCACCAGGTTTCCTAGAATCTTAAACAGACTGAGTAATATCATTTGTGAAGAGTGGCAGTTTTTCATCTTTCTTCTATATAACTTTTCTTTCTGTCTTCTGCTCTATGCATTCGTGATGATTTCTAGAACAATACTGAATAAGAGTGAGCATCCTCTTGTTAACAGGATTAGAGACAAAGCAGTCCATCTTTCACCATTAAGTGTGACATGAACTGTAGCTTCTTTATAGCTAATCTTTGTTACGTTAAGAAAGTATCATCTAAGCAGCCATCTACGTGAGATGTCAACTAAATCCACACGGAAGAAGCACACCGTCATCAGTCACTGAAGGATCGTAAATCATATAATCTGACGTTGAAGGAGAAATTAGTAACAGAGCCTAAATTGTGAGACTCCAGTTTGCAGAAGGCTATGGGTAACAGTGGGGGCCCCAGATTCATTTGTGTGCACTACACAGGAAACAAGTCTCCATGAGCACCTCTCTCCACAATGGAGCGATGGAAGGAACGTGGTGACTAAACAGAGTGCACTGGAGAGATGAGTATAGAAGAGTAAAGGCATAAATCTGACTTGAACAGTTAAAACTTTGTTAGTTGATCCCCTTCTGATGCATGCTGGACCTGATCTGGTTTTCAACATTATCTGTATTTTTATTTTGTTTTTGTTTGTTCATATTAGAGTATATCTCAGAGGTGTTATGTCATTGGAAGTCACCCTCTTGAAGCTGTGTTTGATGTTTTTCTGTATTTCAGCACATGAAACCTAGGACAGCAGGTAGATGAAGGGTTTCAGGGGTGGGAGGGTACAGTTGTGGATGGGGGAGGGGAGGGGCAGACTGTGAAAGGGAGATGATGTCAAGGAGCCCAGAAAGAAAAAGAATGCTTGGAAACTGGTTGTGGTAGCAATTGTATAATTCAGCTTGACAAGATTGAACTATGGAATGATATGACATATGTCTCAATTCCAAATTAATAATATTTTAAAAATAACAAATTATAAAAAGAATTCTTAGGTAGAAAGGGGGAACTGATTACAAGGATCTGCATATAACCTTCTCTCTGAAGGTCAGTCAACAGAAAAGTGGGTGAAGGGAGATGTTGGACAGTGTAAGATATGACAAAATAATAGTTTATCAATTTTCAAGGGTTCATGAGGGAGGGGGAGGGCAGGGAGGGAGGGGGGAAAAGAGGAGCTGATGCCAGGGGCTCAAGTGGAAAGCAAACATTTTGAGAATGATGAGGGCAACAAATGTACAAATGTGCTTGACACAATGGATGTATGTATGGATTGTGATAAGCGATGTATGAGCCCCCAATAAAATGATTTTTTAGAAAAAGAATTTTTTAAGAATGATTGGTTGATATACAATAATCATTTTATTTACTCTTATTCTGTGAGTCGGTCAAGCTGAAAATGGTGAATTCAGTAGGTTGTAAGTCATTGAGTGTGATTTTTTTTTAACCAACACTATACCAACAAATGGTTGGTTACTGATAAATTAGCTCTTCGGAATTGAGGGAGATGGCAACATTATAACAAAAAGAAAACCCAAGCTCAAGAGTGAAAACATTATATCCATGAAATAATGGAATATACAGCACTATCATCCTATTAGAAATGTCACTCATTTTCCTCTGAACAATGTACCTCGTTATAAGTATAGCTGCATCCACGGAAGCCATGTCTTCGCCCCAGCTTGTTGACATCTCTAAATGTATATCATTCTTTTTGCCAAATTCTTCATGTTGCCATTTACAAAAACTTTCTAACATTTTCTCTCCATGGTGTCCAATATAGAGATCTGACTGAAAAAAAAATTACATTTTAAGTAAAATTATGTTCAGATGCACCAAAAATTTAAACCCAAGAGAACTTCCTGAACGACTAAAGCAGGCTCCTCATCACGACATGAATGAGACTCTGGGAGACGTGGAGAATCAAGTTAGTCTGAATTGTAACTGCAGCCTTGGCGGCCCAGTATTTCAGCACTCAGCTGCTGAACAAAGCTTGGCAGCTGGAACCACGAGCTGCCCCCCAGGAGAAGAGGTGGCCTTCCGCTTCCACGGAGGTTTGCAGCCGAGGAGCCCTGGAAGACAGTTTTACTCTGTCCTAGAGGGTGGCTACTAATCAGAATAGATCCACTGGCAATGTGGGTCGAGCTAATCATCTTAACACACCAAGAAGGTTCAATAACTACAAAACCTGCTTAGTGCTATTTTGATGAAGGAGAGAAATACAACGGAGTAATAAGAAAGGGGGACTTTGGGACTTGAGCAAATCATTATTTCTACAAGTTAAGGAAAAAAGTTTTCAAAATTCCCAGCTAAACAGCATGCCAAAATGATGCCACACTCTTTTCTCCAGGAAAGAAGTTACAGAAAAAATAAAAATGTTAAAGGTTATCTTATATTGTAAATTAAACTCCCCTTAAGATTGACTTGTTAAATTTACACTTTAGAAAGCAAAGGTTTGTTATTAGGATCCTTCAAAACTAATTATTTCCATTTTTGCAATAAAACTGAGGTATCAACGAAGCTTAGAGCCAGGATTGTGCATAGTTTAAGTTACACAGCGTATTTCTTATTTTTGTGTCATTAAGAAGCATATCCCTCAAACTCTCTATATTTAAAACCTGAACCCCACTTCTTACCCACTTCATTGAAAAACACATTTCAAGACTGTCTTACTGGCGTTTCGTGGAGCAGAATCAGCTTTATCACGCGGAGCCTGACTTGCACGCCGAGACTCTTATGTTGGAAGAGGTTAAATACCTAGAAAACAGATAAAGTCGGCATTCTGAAGTGAACTGAGACACATGGATTTTTCTTAATGAACACCAGATACGGAACTCTTATTTTGTTGAGAACACTTATAAAACTGATTTTTAATTACTTTTAAATGCCTAATAACTACTAATAGCACTTTAGCTATTAATTGATCTAACATTCTCAAACATCCTTAACTTAAACTTTGGTAACCTAAGCTTTACAATAGGTTTCAATGAGAGGTTGGAATTTCCACATTGCCTATACGAATTTCTAGTAACCAGACTTACTCATGAGGCTGAAAAATGCTTGTGCCCACCTTTCTCTCCTGCAATCATTCTTCAAATGCAGCCTGCTTTCTACTACTGCACATTTAGTTCCTTGGGGTCCTTTTTTCTCTCAAGCTTGATCTCTGATGGAAACAAGGTTTAAAGTTCTACTCTTCAGTGCTACCCTGTGATACCTGAGCATGTGCTAGATACTCGCAAGTGGTTTAAAGGTTTTAGATCATTGTTGTGTTGGGCTTACCCAAAATGGGGGATTTGTAGAAAAATTTAAATCGGTCGGTCAATATTTTGTGTGGTTTCTTACATTTTTTAAGCATAGTATTTATGTCACTTTTATTGGAAGATATGTCAGCGGCACAAAAATCTCATGGATTTAACGCAATAAGGAAACTAAAATTGTTGTCATTAAGAATGTTATGGAATAGAGCTGAATATGGACAGAAATTATTGAAGTGTGAGAAATCCAGTTAACCAGAAAAACAATGATTATGATAGTAAATGATAGTAAAAAGTTAATAAAATGGGAATTTTGTAAAGCATACTATGCTTATTCTTGACTTAATGAATCTTGTCTTTCATTTGGGAACTAAACATATATACCCTGTTTCCCTGAAAATAAGACTGTATCTTAGATTAATTTTTCTCCCAAAGATGCACTAGGTCTTATTATCAGGGGATGTCTTATTTTTTGATGAAGAATACGGTACACATTTATTGTTTATTGTTTTATTAAAAGAGATCTCACACTTTCTGTCTGCTCCAGCTGTGCTGCGGCCAACAGTGAGCTGTGCAGCGGCGCCTGCCGCTACAGTCCAGAGTCCAGAGTTACAGTAGCTTCGGGGGGCCTTATTTTGGGGGAGGTCTTATTTTCGGGGATGGCCTTATATTTCAGTGAGAGGCAAAACTGTAAGTAGGTCTTATTTTCGGGGGACATCTTACTTTCGGGGAAACGGGGTAAAAATATGTTTGGCTTTGACTTTTATTCCAATTTATTCCCTTTAAAAGTCCGATTCATTACAAGCTTCTAATTCTGCCTTGGAAAAGGTACCCCCAACAGAGTATGAATTAAGACAAACCATTGACTTGGTAGTTGCATTTGTAAGAACATATTAGTAGAGTTCGACGAGCCCCAATAAAATGATTACCAAAAAACAACACATACTTGCTTTCTGTAGTTTATACATTATGTCCTGTAACTAGCTACCTGTGCTTCAACTAGCTAAGCATTTAGCTATTAGATACCTAGTCCTTCTTATCAACTGGAATCATCTAAAACCCAATCTATTGTACATGCATATAGAAGAGATGAATGAATTGCCAATTTCTATCCCTTTTTCACCTCACAATTTATCTATGTTTCTGGTGAGACCATATAAAGACCACATAGATCACATTTTGGCTAATTTAAATAAGTACATTTTTAAAAGGGAATGTCCTGAAGGACACAAGTACACAAAAGTTGTAGAACAAGGACTTTGACACGTCAGGATGAACGGTTACTTTTTTGAAGTACAACTTTATTTTGATAATTAAAAGATGGGTCTACTCAGAATTCCTAAAATATTTTCTTACTACTGACCATAAAAAGGAAAAGTATAGTAAGGAAATACATTTTAGAGAGCTTCATCATATATACACATTTCTGCACCAGAGTTTTCTGAAAAAATAAAAAAAATCCAAATGCACGTTAAAATTTGCCTACCATATTTAAGATGGTCAGAATGAATCTCCTGGCTGCATCTGCTCCATGATAGGAAACCACTGCAGGGTCTGCAACCACTACTGTCTCTATGTTGTATTCTTGAGGTAATTTGTAAGAATATCGTTTCCCTCTTCTACTTTCCGTTTTTCTGGACCTAGGTCTTCCTTTATCTGCAACAAAGAAAGGAATTTTTAAAATGCACCCACTATTAACAAAGGATATAATATTAATCCTTCTTTCTTAATAGTCAAGGGAAGTATTGAATAATAGCTTGTGCTGATGATACCACAGCAAGCAAAGAGTTTCTAAAGCAAACAAGATGTTAGAAGCTGCTGAAAGGACCTTTGGCTTTGTAGGACACGTGAGAAGGAGATCGTATACGACTTCTGCCAGGACCGTAAAAGTTTCTGTGTCTTTTTGGGAAACTGACATAGCAGTATGTATGTATGTGTGTATGTATATATATATATATATCCTCAGTTTCCTTATATATAAAGCAGATAATAATAACACCTCCTTTCTAGAGTTAAGAATGGATCACAATAAGATCACATCCATAAGATAGCTAACACAGACTTCCATATAAACAAAATAATTCAATAAATAAAAGACACTATGATTTCCTTTTCAAACCAGGAGCAAAATGCAGGTCTACTTGCAAGAAGTACTTGAAGTAATAGCTTACAGATCAACCCCAGGCAGGTCCCCTGAGTTACAAAGTCATTATGAAAGGGTTGTTGGTGAACTGGCTCTGCCCCTGTTAAGGCTCAGAAAGCTGCCTTAGGACCACACGGTAATAAAGATGTCTCAAGCATGGCTAAACAGACGCAGAAACCATTAAGAAATTTATAATTGTGAGGACATAAAACTTGGGCAGTTCTGTTTATCATAATGTGCCACTAAAAATTGTACTAGAAATTGAGAGAACATACTTGCAATATGCTAACAGAACAAGAACTGCATTCAATCAGTAGCAGTATATAAATTAAAACGGGGGACAGATGATTTTCACAGTAATTTCTCATTAAAAAGACAATCAAATATCTAATTAGCATATGATAAAGTGCTCATTTTCATCAATATTCAGGAAAGTGAAAATTATCATTGGGAGTTTAAAGGAGGATAAATACACTTTGAAATACCTCTGCAATATCCTGTACCTTTGCTCTTAAAAAATATATCAATCAGAAATCCATACATTCATGTTGCAGTAACCAACAAAATTATTCATACTAAAATTATCCTTAATCGCACAAAGACCACCAATGGTATATTGAATAAAGAAAAGTGATAGTTACTCCTACAATAGACTATTATACAACAGTACAAATGAGCCACCTACTGCAATATACAAAATATTAGCTAAATCTCAAAATCACCAAAAATGTTCAATGACACTGCATCAATTCCAACTCACAGCAACCATCTATGGGTTCCCGAGACTAAATCTTTACAGGAATAGACAGCCTTATCTGTCTCCTGCTTAGGTGCTGGTGGGTTTGAAACCAAAGATTGATCCCAAAACCTAATGGACAGAGCCACTTAAGGGCCCTTTTAAAAATCATAAAATTGAACAAACAGAATAGACCAGAAGAAAGTATGTGGTATATAATTCTATTCACAGATAAATCAAGAACAGAGACTAATACACATCCTTAGAAATCAGAATAATGGATACCTTAAGAAAGAGAAACGGGTGCTTATGAGTTGGTTTTATGATTAATATAGCACACACAAAGTTAGGTCTTCAAGGTAATGGAAATTTTTCAACCGTGGTGAAAGAAATGCAGGAACCATGAAGAAAAGTATTCATAAATGGGATGACACAAAAATGGAAAAATAATTGATAATCAGTGTTAATTATAATAAGTTATATTATATAATATATCATTTATAAATGTATGATAATTTAGAAATAATTTATAATCAGTGTTAAATATAATAAGTTATGTTATATATAATATCATGTAATATTATATAATATAATAAAATCAGTATAATAAGTACATTCTTCGGTGCTCATTTTGGGAAAATTCACAATGTTGGATATATTTTTTGATACTTTCTTATATGCATTTTGTGTTTCAGCAATGAATGTATGAATTTCAACACCTATATTAAGCTATCTGCACACCATAAAATGTACCCATTTTATGCATGCAATTCAATTAGTTCGATAAATGTATGTGGTTGTGCCAGTCACTACCACAAATCACTGAGATGGCTATGATGTGTCCTTCCCATGTCGTCCACCAAAATTTGATATCTCCTAGCAGCTATCATCTCTTTCGCTAATCAGATGTACTTGTGGTATTGAATGTTTTTAATTTTTCACAACAATTTCAGTGCTCTCTGAAAATGTGGGGATAAAAATGTTTAATCACTTATATTTCCTGGAAATCTCTAAGTTGCTTCGAATTTGAGAATATGTATTCAAATAATTTTAGTCAATCTTGTTGACTTCTGATAAATTCTCTTCCTTAAGTCTTGTTCTAGGTGCCTAGACTTTGATTAGTTAATGCGATTCAATTCCATTATATTTTAATACCTACGTCCTCCACCTTGCTCTGCCATTTATCTCATTTGTATTATTTCAGGATTGATTTTTATCTAGGCTTTTCTTCTTGTGGCAAAATATATATAACAAAGATGTCATTTTTAAAGCATTTTCAATGTACAACTCAGTGACATCAATCCAATCCACATGTTGTACAGCCATCATCGTGATCTATTTCTGGAATTTCCTTATCCCATGAAATATAAACTCAGATCCTTTACGCATCAATTCCCTTTCCCTTCATCTTTTTGTTAACTACTAATATCTAATCACTGATGCCTTTGAATTATGGTGCTGGCAAAAAATATGATCTGTGTTTTAATGACTATACCAGGAATTAGACTTTGTGGACCATAGTGATCTATGGATAGCCTGGAGAAAAATGGGAACCTCAGAGCCCCACATTCTGCTCAGGTCAAACCTATACACTGATCAAGAGGTAGTTGTACGAGCAGAACAAGGGAATGCTGCAGTGTGTAAAATCAGGAAAGGCGTGCATCAGGGTTACATCCTATCACCAAACATATTCAATCTCTATGCTGAACAAATAATTCTAGATGCTGGATTAAATGAAGAATGTGGCATAAAGATTGGAGGAAGGCTTATTAACAACCTGCTACATGCAGGTGAATAAAAGTGAATGGAACTTGAAGCACTTACTGATATAGATGTAGGATTACAGACTTCAGTGTAAATTAAAACAATGTAAAAGAAAGGCAAAATCCTCACAAATGGATCAGTAAGCAACATCACGATAAATGGAGAACAGGTTGACCTTGTCAAGAATTTTGTCTTGCTTGAATCCACAGTCGAGGCTCATGGAAGCAGCAGTCAAGAGATCAAACAATGCATTGTATTTGGTAAATCTGCTTCACAGTGTTGAAAATCTAGGATGCTGCTTTAAGGAATAAGGTGATCCTGGCCCAAGCTATAATAATTTCAATTGACTGATATGCGTGTAAATTTGGACACTGAATAAGGAATACCAAAGAAGAATCGATGCATTTGGATCAAGGTTCTAGAGAAGACTGTTGAAAACCCATGGATTTCCAAAAGAACAAACAAATCTGCTCTGAAAGAAGTACAACCAGAATCTTTTGTACTTTGGACATGTTCTCAGGAGAGACCAGTTTCTGGAGAAGGACATCATGCTTGGCAAAGTAGTGGGTCAGCAAAAAAAGACCTTCCCAGAGAGGGATTGACACCGTGGCAGTAAAAATGGGCTCAGACAGAAGAACAATGTTGAGGATGACCCAGGACTAGACGGTATTTGTTCTGCTGTATTGCCGCTGTAAGTTAAAACCAACTCAAAATCACCTAACAACAACAACAACAAGAGAAAAGGCGTTGTTATCTTTGATTGCTCGCACTTTTGGTATCATCTCTAAAAATCCTTGTGAAAAACAAAGCCCTATGTTACTTATGAAGCTATGTATCGTTTTGCTTCTAACACGACTTGCCTGAATGGTGCAAATGATTAAGCAATCAATAACCAGTCGAAGGTTTACTTCCTCAGAAGATGGTCCTGACCTGCTGCTTCCAGAAGGTCCCAGCCTTAGAACTCTACAAAACTGTAACATGGGGTCACCATGTTACAGTTAATTTTATGGTACCAAGCAATAATTGTTATTATATTTAAGTCATTGGTTCAATTTGAATTAAATTTTTAGATGGCATGAAGTATGGTTCCATGATTATCTCTTTAAAGACCTACTTGCCCCAGGACTATTTGTAGGATAGGCTATCCTTTCCCCAGTAAGTGGGTGCAGCATCCTCAGCAAAATCAATTAACCATAGATGTATAGGTTTATTTCTGGACTATCTATTTTATTTGGTCTTTATGTCTAGCCTAATGTTATACTCAGAAGGCTTTTACTACTCTATTTTAAAAATAAATTTAGAAATCATAAAGTATGTCCTCCTAATTTATTTTTCTTTCTCAAAATTATCTTATTTCTTTGGGACCTGTTATAATATTACATCAATTTCTGCATACAAGGCTGTTGGAATTTTTACATGAAATGTATTGAATGTGTGAGTCACTTTGGATAAAACCGACATCTTAATATGATTGCTACTCGTGCATTATTTTTATAAGAATGTATTCTAAATACTGAGTAGGGTACACTTGTACATGAGGAGATCCTCTTGGCAAGGCCCATTAGGTCCATACCTCATGAATCTATCACAAATGTTTATATATATGGGGCAGTCTTTTAAAAGTGCCTGGAAAAGGGCATTAAAAGATAATAACATTTTTCTACTAACTCTTTAGATTTTCCTTACATATAAGTTCATTACGGGAAATTGTGACAAGAAGTGAGAAACTCTGATACTGCCCAATGACCACTCCTCAGGTGTGATAAGCAACAGCTATCACGGGTGTTTACTTTACTGAACACATGAGATTTAGAAGGATGCCTCCAATAACTAAAACTACCCAGCAGAAGGTAGCTGATAGCTGAATAAAAGTTACAACGCACCTGAAACTCAGGAGAGAAGATGAACAAAAGATTGTTTAGAATTAATCTATGTGTATGTGGGAATTAAAACTACAGATTTGGATTTTATTGCCTTATATAAGAATGTAGCCTGCGAAATAAAATGAAGAGG